GGGGGGGGGGAGGAGACGCCAACTATAGAACGGCGATACGAATCGGAGCGACACGCAAAGATCGTCACACGCACACGACCCTGACCCTCGCGCTTTATCCCGAACGACGATCTTCGGAGCGATTTCTGCGTGAATTTCAGATCGCGCGGTATGCTGTATAGGCATTTGTAGACCGGAGGAACTCATTTCCCGCCGTCGCGTCGCGCGAATTGCGATTTACGAGCCGCGCGACGTCGATCCGTTCGCAAGAGGAGGCGAATTTCCTGTTCGTCGCTAGGAGGATGAAAAAGAGAAATGGGAGAAGGGAAAAAGATCCGCGGATGAAAGAAAGAAAGAAAAGAAAAAAAAATGCGAATGCACGGCGGGCGGCGTGCGGTCGGTACGGTCCTGGCTCGATCTCGTGCTGTCAGTGCGCGACAGTGCGCCGGACGCTCGCTTGACTTAGGGAGTGCCCGTGCCGATGCAAAGTGTAAGTGAAGTGGCCTACAGACCTACATTTGTCTAACGTTCCATTTTTTTTCACGGGCCGACGGGAACGAGAGGTTAACGAATACCTCCGCTCTTTTCTTCGGTAAAACGTAGCGTGTGCGTGTACCTGCGATGCCGCCGTCCCGTGATATACCAACGTTCGACTGACGAGACGGACGAGAGAAAGAAAGAAAGAGAGAGAGAGAGTGACTGAGAGAGATAGGTAGATAAGTAGACAAAGATAGAGAGAGAGAGGGAGAGAGAGCGGCCGGGAACGAGCGAGCGAGTGAACCGTAGCGGTGCGGTGGTGCAGGTTCGGTACGTCTCGGACACTGCGCTCTGACCAGTGTGTACTCGTGAAAGGAGATAGAGTGAGAGGGGAGAGAGAGAGAGAGAGAGAGAACTCGTGAGCGTGCGCGAGAGTGACGGAGAAGAGTGGCAGAGACGTGAGAGTGAGAGAGTATGATAGGAGAGCGTACGAGAGCGAAAGCGAGTGTACGAGACGTCGGCGGGAGGGAGGGCGGAAAAGAGTAAAAGATAGAAAGAGAGAGGGAGAGAGAGTGAGTGTGGAAAAAAGAGGGAACGGAGTGCACGTTACCGCGAAGAGAGAGAGAGAGAGAGAGAGAGAGAGAGAGAGAGAGAGAGAGAGAGAGAGCGCAAAAGGGAGTAGGTACGTAAAAGAGTGTAGGTGTTCTTCCTAGGAGAAGTGCGTGCGCTCACGGGAACAACGTGCAAGAGAAGTGGAGGGAATCCTGCCTGTCCGTTTGTCTATCTGTCCGTCTAACCGCCGGGACGCGCGAGGCCCGGAATGGCTGCGAGGACAGGGGAGGGCGAGGGTGAGAGCCCCGCGACAGTCTTCGACAACAATGCCGGCATCGTGACGACGGCGGGTTCCCTCGCGGAATCATCCACGTCGTCTTCGTCCTCCTCCTCCGCTACCGCAGCCGCAACCGCCGCCGCCACCGCTGCTGCCGTCGCCGCCGTCGCCGCCGCCGCGGTGCCAACGGTGATCCTGACAGAGAGTACCGCTACGAGCGCCGGTAGTCTGCCCTTGGGATCTCAACAACAAGGCAACCTGCATCAAGTACATCAACAACAACAACAACAACAGTCGCGACAGAGAGATTGTCTGATTGCCGATGTACCCGTCAATGATGTCGCAGGTAACCTCAATGACTCGCTCTTCAAGTCTTTGTTGTCGCTAATGTGCCGCTTGCCAACCCCTCTTCTCCCTTCCCTTCTCCTTTCTCTTTCCTAACTTCGCTCTCACATCGTCTTTCTCTCTCTCATGTTTCTCGTTTCCCTCTTTCTTTCTTTCCGTCTCTTCTATCTCTCTTCTTCTCTTTCTCCTCCTCCTCCTTCTCCCCTCCTCGTGTCTCGAATCCTCTGTCGTCTGTTGCATCTCGCGCGCGCGCGCGCGCGCGCACTGATGCCGCGTGGATTCTCTGGAGCCACTTCCGAATTCGCGGGACTCTCTTTGTTTTCATCGACGTAGGCTACAGAGAACGAAAGCCGAGATAGTTTCCTCGTGAATAACTAAAACTCGGGAGAACAAGAAACGAGACTGAATATAATAATAACAAAAAAATGAATAAATTTTAAATTATATAAAAATGACAAGGGTATCGAAGAGCCAACCACAGAACCTGTTGCGTAGATTAATTTATATTCTATCAATAATCACACGGGGCTGTTTTATTCGAATCCTAATCTCGTAAATTCAAACTGTTGACATGTTTCGGGCTACTTGCGTACGAGCCGTCTGCTCGGAGGGGGGATAAATTTAATTGTAAATAAGACTTCTCAAAGTAAAGCTGCGCCCAGAATAATTTAGAGCCGCTCGCAGCACCTGACGGTTGGAAGACTCAGGTGTTGGAGGGATCTGGTTGTGCTGACAAATGGAAATTTAAGAAAAGTTAAATTTGTCATACAATTCGCTTAACGTGCACTTGCTCGCGTGCGATACGCGATTCCCCCAAGCCCAAGTGCGTTTTGATCGCGATCACTGTGTCACGTGGACCAGCGGCTCGCGGGGAGCCCGCGTAGAGACAACGGGTCACTCCGCGTTCCTGATTTAGTGCCGACTTTTGCGCAGCGATGTTGTAGTGGCGCAACAGACGTTCCGGAGCGAAATTCCGAAGTCGAGTCGCGCGCGAAGTCTCTGTCTGTCCGTCTGTCTGTCATCGTCTCGAATTTAGAACAGACAGCCTTCAAGTAGCTTCTTTATGAATGCCGCTGGTTGCAGCATACTCCTCCCCCCTCCCGACCCTTCGCGAGCAAAATAGCGGTTCGTCGAAACGAGATTCGGCCGCCTTTATTTACGTCGACGTTCCCTCCCCGGCTTCCGTCTTTTTCTCCTTTTTCGCCTCTACTCCCTCTCTACTCCTTTTCCGTTTCTCTTCCTTTCCCTCTCTTCCGTCACGACACGAGAAACTGCGAGGGTGAATTTTTCTCGAGCGATTTCCGCGGACTTACAGCGAATTCGGTAACTTGCATTACACCAGGGTTGCTAAAACATGTTTCAAGTTATTTCAAACACACTTAATAGACGTTTTTAACATGTTTTGAACATGTTTTTGTTATCTTTTTTTTTTTTTGTAATACTGCTTTGTAATACTTTAAAGCGTGTGCGAAGCATTAAAAATATATTTGGACAAAACATTAATGTTTTGTTCTTTAAAAAGATATTATCTTGTTAACCTTGCATTACACTAGATTAGTGGATACTAAGAGCTGCTATTCGTGAAATTGGCAAAGTCAAGCGCAAAAGCATATGAATATTTTAAACGATTAAATGGTGAAAAATGACTTTGTTATCATTTAATGGAGTGCACATATATTATTTCATTGTCAGAGTTAATTATATTGCATTCAGATACTTTATACGAAGCAGCCTTCAACGTACCGATCCAGCGTAGTGCGAGTGATCGAATTTTTGTCATAAGTTTCCGTAAGTGACTCTCTGTCCTCTTTCTGCCTTCTTTTCATTCTATTTCCCCTTTTTTCTTTCTCTCGCTCCCCTCATCTGTACATCGCTTTTTTCCTCACTCTCTGCATTTATTCGAGACGAGTCGGCGGTGTTACGCGAAGCTCGTTTGCAAAAACTCCACTAAATCAACTTAAGCGGAGTAGACTGGGGCAAGTGGCAAGCCGGGTTTCGATTAATGTAAAAGAAATACAGGTGCTAGATAAAGCGACGAGCGTGGAGAGAAACGAAGGTGGTTTTATTGTGGCCTTCCTACAAATAAATAATTATTAAAAGGACATAATAAATATTCAAAATTTGATGATGTTTTTGTCGAATCCATAAAAATTATCAATAAATTTCTCAAACCAAGTTTTTGTTTTAATATTTGCCCCTCTTCCACTTGTCCCAGTTCATCCGTCCATTCGTATAGTCACTCCGAACCTCTGCTCTACCTCAGCGAAATCTAATTGATAAGTTGCGTGTTCTTGGCTATTCTTACTTTACTATTGCTCTGTATGCTTTTTAAAAGAGCTTATTACACGTATTTCTAATTCGATTATATGACGAAAGGAAAATATTTTTTTTTCACGTTAATCTCTTCTGTCACTAATAACTTTTACGTGTGTAATCGGGCAATATGAAGTACATCTTGTACGAACAAATACGTAAATGAGAAATTTCGAATTCGTGAAGTATCAGCGATTGTACGTACGCCATTGTAACGTAAGTACTGCTGCAAATTAAAAAAACGTTTTACCTGTACAACTAATTAAAAGAATTAGCTAAAGAAAGTCAATATAAGTCAAAGCAACAACAAAATTTGATTCAAGTCGTGAATACGTCTTGAAACCAGCTGCGAAAAAGACCAAATAATTTCCATTGCGTATTCAGGAATGAGCACATTTTGCTGCGATTTTAGGTAAATAACTTTTTTTAAACGAGTAAGTAGATAAAAACTTATTAGTATTATGGTATGAGATGATTTATTAGTATTCTACTGCTTCTCCTCAAAGTTATTATACAAATGCAGCCACAACGTAATGGCATTCCAGACACATTTTTGCATTACAAACTGATAAACGAAAATACAAAAAATAAAATAAAAATAGAACTGCACTCCTAATCTATTCTAAAGATAGAATCACACGATGCTCGATTTCTTGAATGATAAGCATGCCATGCATGCATGCACACATGCATGTTACTACACGGAGAGAAATTTTTCCTAAGAGTTTACTGAAAATATAATAGTCGTGGGACAACATTGTATTTCGAGGAATTAAAATCTCTCTCATTCATTAATAAAATTACAATAAAATAAGTTTGATTAATTTTACTAAACTGCATGGGAAAAAAATCTTTAAAATATTGTATTGTACCACACTATTATATTTTTAGGGTAAATTTTAAAGATAAAATTCTCTCTGTGTTATGCTTGCTTTGATGCATACGGTCTGACATTTGACAATAAATATGAAATTATTATTGTTTCTTTTGATTGGTGCATGCAAGGAAATAAGTTGTGAAGTAATCCATAATAAATATAAAAATCATATATATACAACATGCAGCGCTCAATCCATGAATGAATTCTAGCATACATCAGAGCAAACATGACTGTATGCACATTATCATTTAAGCAATCGAGCATTATGTGATTCCATCTTAACCTTATCTATGCACACATCGCTGCTTCTATTTATAATAATGGATTTCTTATTCTATCCTATAAGATAAGATAATAACGCATTTCCTATCATATTCTATTCTAAATAAACTTATTAGTATATATATATGGATGAAAAAAATTTAATTTATAATACTTTATTATCTAAATGCTTCCTTAAATTTGCAATTAAGTTTTACACAACGCGATTTTAAGATCTTAACTTTATGAGAATTAAGGCAAACAAAAAAATTAAAAATTAAATAATTTTAATTCAAAATTAAATAATAAACCAAGAAAAAAAAATTGTGTTTAAATTTTACACTGACACTTAGACACGTAATAATAGAACAATCTATGAAATTTTTATATTTTTGGTAATGCTCAGAAATATCTGATACATGCATCCTTAAATGCTGAAGGAAATCAACGGACTCCGCGAAGACGTGCCGGATGAGAACTCGTAGTTGAATCTGCTCGCATAAAATTTGCATGTGATTTCGACATACGAATTAAAGTGGATAATTAAATGTCACGGAGGCGTCGGACGTGCAGCTCGCTCCACTTTTCGCGCAGTATGCTTCCGTTTTTTGCGATTACTGCCAAATGCAGATGGTTGCTTTCGAATCGTGAAAATAATCCAATTTATCAACGATATATTCATTGCTGTGGATAAAATTCGTGTAATATCCATGTAACGTTAAAAAAACATTCAGCCAAAAGGTTAAACATAAAGTTCTCACTTTCAAAATTCATATGTATATTAAACATATTACATGACACTTCTATCATTTTTCTAAAAATTATTTTCTCAGGCGAAAAATAACATAAAATAACGTTTTTTTTCTTTATTGGATAATAGACAGTGTTAATAAATATTTCCGAGAACAGCTATTAAATTTAATATCACGTAGTGATCTGAAAAACTCGAAATCAATGATTAGAATGTTTCTAATTACTCCGCGTACAGTTGGCGCAGAATTTGTCGAAATGCTTTTATACATTCGCAGTCGTAATTCATGAAGCAGACATTTTGGTACTCATGTTACATATTATTATCCGCGACGCGCAGCAAAGACCATTAACGCTTAACTTTCTGTTACGACTGCGTTGGCTAAGTAATTTATAACCGGAGCGCCAATTGTATGTCTCTCACGTGGCTGTTAATGACGTGACACCTGCCGCTATGATCGCCGAACCATACCCGGAATTGTTGGCACGCGAGATCGCCGCTCGTTTCCGGTAACGATGATGAACATACGACGGCAAACGACAAACACTGAGTTGCGAAGCTTGCTCGTGTCTGGATTTTCAGATAATTTTACAAAGTTCTCAGGGCCCGTAAATATATCTCATATCTCTATACGCTTAATCGAAATCTATGAAGTAGATTACGTATACAAATCACACATATAATCGCTAGATGTATACATTTTTCTAATAATATAAATCATATTTATTCTCTATTTTTATGCACACACGTAAAAAGTCTTGTACTTGCATTCTCGCGTGCTTAAACGTCAAGCAACTTGACGTTTAATTGTATTTATATTATATCCAAAGTACTATCTTATAACGTTACGCAGTTGTGCAAAATAAAAGGAATGGGGAACAGAGAATAAAAATTTCAATC